TTCTTTTCAACAATATCAGAATATTATGTAAATACAGATTATTCACACACCTTAAAATAATACTATCAAAAACACAATTTAATTCTTAAAAAAATAGTAGATTGATATTATGAGTGAATATATTATATCATACTTTTGTTTTTTTAACATTTTTTCAGACTTTTTGTTTCAATTTATTATTCTTTTAATATTATTAATTAATACTTTTTTTTGTGGATTCTTTAAGTTTAACATCTACATTAAACAGAAATATTTAATTTATAATGGCTCAAGCCATAATATAAAATAMTGAACTTGCATTAAATTGTATATTAAAATTATTAATATTAAGAGACACATTTACATTGATTCAAGTTACATTATGATATCAAATTTAAAATGTTCTAGCGTTTTTTWAATTTATTTAWTCATTCTTAAACTAATCAGATTTTCATCTAAGACAACAAGATATCTAATTTTAAAAATTATAAAAAATATTTGGTACAAATGCTTATATATGTCATAAGTTTGTATATTTTATATAGTAAGTAATCATAAATAATTAATAAGTAGATAATAGTTGAAATTTGGTTCTTTAAACACAAGGCTTAAATGAATAAATGGACTAAAACATGCCTCAGAGTAAAAATTGAACTTCATATGACACCAAATGTATTAAATCTATAATCTATTACAGGGTGCAAATAATAGTTACCTAGTTTAACTTGGCATGTTTCTAATAAAGAACAAACACGTGAATTATTATTCATTAAATTAGATCAAAAATGAATTAATTTTTTTTATTGACACTTTGAAATGTGTACACACACACCTAACATCTACATCTATATGAATTTTATGAAAAATTCTGTTAAGTTTTTTATACTATCTATTTTCTCTGTTTGTTATAATGTAATTAAAAAAATAAATAATATTATTGATCTATTAATATTGTATGTATAAAATATAAACACAATCTGTGCATAAATAGTTTTTTCCCCAGCTGGTCAGATAATGGAATTCTAGAGCTTACAGCACTTCCAAAATAACTTCAGGACACCTCGTTAATTTGAATGTAAATAATTATAATAATATATATTCTCCATAAAGGAAAATAGTAAATTGTATTTAATCTTAACCAGMATTGTCGAAGTATGGATCAATATCTATAGTGGTTTGGTTTAAACGGACCATTTTTTGGTAATCCCATATACTTGGCTTGTTCTTCAGTAAGCTCTGTAAGATGAGCGTCAAATGTAGCCAGGTGAAGACTTGCCACATACTCATCTAAAACAAAATGAGAATTTTATACTTTATAAAAGAAATTATACTTAAATGATAACACACCCATTTTTTTCGGCAATAAATATACATCACTCTTGTAACGACCAATCGGAGCATTAAACAGTTCCATTAGCGCAAGTATCTTTAAAAAAAAAAAACCATCAAGTATAAAACACCGTACAAGTAATGAAAACAATTTAATCCAAAATTTACCTGGGTTGTACCAGTAATGGAAGTGACAAATGATGGAATGCTTGAACAGGTATAGTTTACATGATGACCACCAGCAAGTAAAATCATGGTTTTTCCATCAGGCCAGCGGATGTGATCTACTTGTGAACGTACCTTTTCCCATTTTAACTCTGGTGTACGTAATGCAGCCTTTGATGGAAAAGAAAATAGATTAATACAATTATGAATTATCATTTAAACTCAGAATTAGGAAACTAAAATAATAAGTAGGTAGGTGATATGATATTATTTATTGTAAACGTTTAATGATATAAGTATTAGGTRTCCGGAAAAACAGGTTACACTACRTAGGTAATTAAATTTCCATATTACTCAACGCCTTATAAATGTTTTTCAAAAAGACATTGGATTATCAATCTCTTGTAGACATAACTCTAAAAAGTGTATAGGATGCCAAGTAATGTATATAACTGAGTACACAGTTTTCATGGATACATGTTATAGGTAAATTATATATACAATCACTGCAGTTTTTCATTACATTGTATATAATTAATTATTTTCATAACTGTATATTTCTGATAAACAACAACATTTTCTGAGGATATTAAAATATTCAAAAACCAAATATCATTGCTAGTAATAAATATAAGATAATATAATATATTAAAAATAGTAAATATTTTATTTTATTGTTTATGAGTATATAGGTAGTATTTTTATRTTCTTTTGTAGATTCAGAGGTACATTTTTTGTCTGTTTCAAAAGCCAATTTTAAGAAATAAAAATAAAAATTAACTTAATGATAAATTATAGGTAAGCTCTTTGAACTTGTACAGAATATATTAAGGAAAACTGCTATGGTGATGTGAACTTAATCATGGAACTTGTAATACATACATATTATTAGTATATAAGTCATAAGTGGTTGTTATATTGTTATTCTAAGAGCATCAATGCATTGACAAAGTAACACAATAACTAACAGGCCCATAGATCACTGATACATGTGTTAATGATAATTTTAC